GTCTAGTTGTTCTGGTGTGCAGGGCTCTATAGCATCGTTTTGAGGGTGGGAGTTGAAACAGTTTATGTCCGGGATGTGAGGGGTCTGTAGATATTTTCACAGCCCTCTTTTTGACTCGTGCAAGATACAGGTCCTCCATGGAAGGCAGGTTGGTAGCCATTGTTTTTTCTGCAGTCCTAATTGCTCTCTCTGAAGTCTGTGTCTGTCTTGTTGAGTTGCAGAATCAAAGTTGGTTAGATTAGATTAACATAGTTGGAAGGGACCTTGTAGGTCATCTAGTCCAACCCCACCCCCCCACCCCCACCCCGGCAAAAAGCAGGAGATCCTACACCATTTCTTACAGGTGGCAGTCCATTCTCTCCTTAAAAGTCTCCAGGGATGAAACTCCCACAACTTCTGACGGCAAATTCTGCTCCATGCGTTGATGGTTCTCACCGTCAGAAAATTTCTCCTTATTTCTAGGTTGCATCTCTCCTTGATCCGTTTCTGAAGTTGCCTTCGGAAGTTGTGGGTGCTCCATCACTGGAGGTTTTGAAGAAGAGACTGGACAGCCACCTGTCTGAAATGGTATAGGGTCTCCTGCTGGAGCAGGGGGCTGGACTAGAAGACCTCCAAGGTCCCTTCCAAACTCAGTTCCAGGGCGTTTGAGAGCACTTACTCCCCCCCCCACCCACCCAAAAAAACTGAAGCAGAAGGACAGGCTATAAAAAGAGGAGTCAACCAGCAGGGAAGGTCCCAAAGGTACTTTTCCAAGAGGCAACTGGACTTTCTGGTTCTTCTTTGAAGACATTTTGCTTCTCATCCAAGAAGCTTCTTCAGCTCTGGCTAGTTGGTGGGGAAGGGAAGGATTGATATTCCTTGAAACAGCTGGTCATTTGCATCCTTTTTAGAGAGTCGTTGAGGCCACTTGGAGCTTTATCTCCCTGAGTAGTGCAAATGGGTGTGGAGCCTTCTTGGCACTGTTGAAAGGACTATTGTAGATTGTATTGGGTCTTTCAACAGTTTTAAGAAGACTCTACACCCAGTTGAGCCACTCAGGGGATTTTGAGGACACAGACAAACCCCCAAGAGGCCTCCAGGACTCTCTAAAAAGGATGCAAATGACCAGCTGTCTGCAAGGAGTATCAATCCTTCCCTTCCCCACCATCCAGCCAGAGCTGAAGAAGCTTCTTGGATAGAAGTGAAAGGTCTTCAAAGTATAACCAGAAAGTCCAGTTGCCTCTTGAAAAAAGCACCTTTGGGTCAATCATGAAGGAGAATCTGTAGATATTGAGCAGGGAAGGATTTGTTTCTCTTACATATTACACTCATCCTATTTTCTTCTCTCTTTCTCCCCCACGATTCTTCTTAAGTATCCCGGATCTTTCCCGCAAGAAACTCCCAAGTCCCAAACCCCCCCCATCCCCAATGGGAAGGGGGGAGGGCGATAGGTGCTACCTTTAACCAACCCCCGCTGGAAAGGAGCAACAGGCGTCTTTTGGCCAGGGATCACACATCCCCAAGTGTTTCTTAACTGCCACACATCGACCTGTGCGCTCCTACTCCTCATCTCTCTGCTCCTCCTTTCCTCTCTGGTTCTTCTCTGAGGTGACTCTTTTCACTGCTCCCCCCCCCCCCATTAAAAATTAAAAAATAAAAAAAAAAAAAAAAACAGGGGGAAATTCGCAGCTACGATTCCCGCTAAATCGAATTTCCCGGCAAAATTATAAACACGGGTGTTAAGTACGGATAAATCGTTGTTTTGCTAGCCTCAACTCTTCCTTCCCTTTCCACACTCCCTTTTCCTTAGGTGGGGGGGGGGGGGTTGGAAAAGGTCGTGAGAACTGCTCCGCGTCTCACAAATACACACACACACACACACCAAACCCCGCTTTTTAGCTTTTGTGTTGTTTTTTTTAAAAAACCCTGGCTTGTTAGAAGAAATCGCTCCGGCGAAATTCACTGGACCCGGGAATTCACGTGTGAATTCGATCCCAGAGATGCGGGCCGGACTTCCTCTAAAGTCAAAGGAACCGGACCACCAATCGACATTCCCTTTCTTCCCTCCACCCCCCCGCGGGAGAGAAGGGGGGGGCGGTTTGGAAGGTGCACAATTGAAAAGCTTTGCACCATACGCTACCAACCCCCTCCCCCCGACGCCCCCTCCCCTCCCCCGGAGGGCCCCGGGAAGAGACCCTGCGCCTTTAAACTGGCGCGCTCGGCCAGAAACCCAGCGAGCTTCGCAGGTGTGTGTGTATGTGTGGGTGGGGGGGGGGGGGGAGATGGAGAAGAAGTGGGGGGTGGGCTGTGATTGACAAGTCCCACAAAAGTTTCCTTTCTCTTGCGCTGAGAACCGCTGGGTTGGTTGCCATGCAAACGGATTTTCCCCCTCCCCATTAAAAAAAAAAACCACTAACGCCTCCACCTCTTCCCCACCCCCCATTTTCATCCGCAGGCAGCCAAATTGGGGTGAGTGAGAAGGGTGGGGGGGAGGTCGATGGAAGAAGCGGCATTCAGAAGGAAGGCGGCGTGAGGACGACGTGGGGGAGCGCTGAACTCCAGCGTGCTTGGCTGAAGCCCCCTCCCTCCCCCCCCTCAATAGTCCCTCTGTTGCCTTCCAGAGTTGGGAGAGAAAGCGGCCTTGGCTTCATTGAGGCTTGGCTTATTCCGGGGGGGGGGGGGGGTGGAGAGAGAGAGAGAGAAGGAGGAGGGAGCGAGCGGCCTTTTTCCCACGCGCTTTTGGGCAACCTGGCAGATCGGAGAATATTTTTTCCCCCCTTGTTTCTTTTTGAAAGGAGGTTGGGAAGGCAGGGCGAAGCTTTTGGGGTCGCTGTTCCTGTCCCCTTCCTTCTTACACACGCAGAGCTCTCCCGCAACCTGCTTAACGCCTCCCCCCCCCCCCCCCCCCACACACACACCCTCCAACTCCACCCAGCACCCCTTTCCAGAGCGCTGCCCACTCCTACTCCCACCCCCGGCAGCAAAAGTGGCACTTGAACGCATTTCACCGACTTCTTCGTCCGTGGAAAGGCCGTTTTCGCAAATATGGGAAACCAGAGAAAATTGTAATATCCCGGTTAAAGTTCTTGGGTGGAATCAAGGGGTCGTTTTCTTTCTTATATCCTCGCCCCCTCCCCCCCCCCCAAAAAAGTGTAGAAGCTGGAAATGGGTTTGGAAAGTCGCGTTTGGCTTCCCCTTTAGGGGTGTCTGGGGGCGGGGGGGAAGTTGGTGTGATTTTAAAAACCGGCTAGGAGAGAAGCCACAGTCCCTTCCCGAGAATATTTGAGGTGTGCAGATTGAAAGGTGTGGTTTTTTTTCACCCCGCACTCCCAGTTTTTGCCCCCCCCCCCCCAAAAAAAAAAATGGTCGGAAGCGAAATCATCGGGGAAAAACGAGCCCATCAGACTTGGTTAAAACCTTTGTAGGAAGTAGGGCAATCAATGTCCCCCCTTCTGCTCTTCGCCCCATCCCAAAAGCCATTCACACAAACGAGTGTTATTTTTCTTTTATTCTTCCATTCGAGTTTGGGCCGCCTTTCCCGAGCGCCCGAGGCGACTTCTGTAGAACTCGGAACCGAGGATCTGTCTCGCTCCACGGACACGCAGGACTCCTTCTGCAAACTGTGGGCAGACCTTTCCCCCCCCCAGCCCCCACCCCACCCCAATCAACCAATCCCACCCGGGGGTCGGTGCTGCCCCCTCTCTGCCGCTGCGGTTTTGGGGACGGGGGGGGGGAAGCGGAGGGAGAGCGCAACGGAGGCAGCAGGCGGCTTTCCTCAAAAGTTTGCAGGTTTGGCCTGGGGTGGGAGGGGGAGCCTCATCCTGCCTGGGGGGGGGGGCGGCTGCGCTTTGATTGGTCGCCACCTCCTCATTTATAGGCCGTCAATCAAACGGCACTACGAGAAGGCCGTTGCTGGGCTGTTTCGGGGAGGGGGCGGCTGGCTAAGCTAGGTGGCTGGACAGAGTTTGGGCACCGTCGGAAGAGCCAGCGAGAGTCGCCGCAGCCGGCCGGCCTGCCTGCCCGCTTCTTGGGTTGCCGAGAAAGCAAAGAGGGGGAAGCGGATCGTCGCCAGATTTATTTCCCCCACCCCCCACTCTCTCTCTCGTGGACTCGGCTTTCCTCCCCGGCCTCCACGCTGGCGCACGTCCTGTCCGCCCCGGCGATGTACAGCCTGCTGGAGAACGAACTCAAGCCGCCCCAGGGCAACCCCGGCGGAGGCGCCGCTGGCAACGGGGGTCCCGGGAGCGCCGGCAAAGGAGGAGGAGGCGCAGGAGGAGGAGGAGGCGGCGGAACCAACGCGTCCGTCCCGGACCAGGACCGGGTCAAACGTCCCATGAACGCCTTCATGGTGTGGTCGCGGGGTCAGCGTCGCAAGATGGCCCAAGAGAACCCCAAGATGCACAACTCGGAGATCTCCAAGCGCCTGGGCGCCGACTGGAAACTGCTGAGCGACGCGGAGAAGAGGCCCTTCATCGACGAGGCCAAACGCTTGCGCGCCGTCCACATGAAGGAATATCCGGATTACAAGTACCGACCCCGCCGTAAGACCAAGACGCTGCTGAAGAAGGACAAGTACGCGCTCCCGGGCAACTTGTTGGCCCCCAACGGGGGTCCCGGGGGCGGCGGTGGAGGAGGAGGAGGCGGCGGCGGAGGCGGCGGGGTGAGTAGTCCGGTAGGCGTCGGGCAGCGCCTAGACTCGTACGCGCACGTCAACGGTTGGCCCAACGGCGCCTACGCGGCCGCCTCGCTGATGCCCGACCAGTTGGCCTACGGGCAGCACCCGGCCATGGGCAACGCGCAGCTCCAGTCCCTCCACCGTTACGACGTGAGCGGCCTCCAGTACAGCCCCATCATGTCCGCCGCTCAGCCTTACATGACGGCCGCCGCTTCGACTTACAGCATGGCCGCGGCCGCCGCCGCTTACGGCCAGCAGCAGTCGAGCCACGCCATGAGCCTGGGGACTATGACCTCGGTGGTCAAAGCCGAGCCCAGCTCGCCGCCCCCGCAGCCGCCGGCCCTCGCCTCGCACTCGCAGCGGGCCTGCCTGGGGGACCTCCGAGACATGATCAGCATGTACCTGCCGCCCGGCGGAGACGCCGCCGACCCGTCGAGCCTGCAGAGTGGACGTCTCCACGGCGTCCACCAGCACTATCACAACGCCGCCGGGGCGGCCGTCAACGGCACCGTCCCACTGACTCATATCTAAAAGACCCCCCCTACCCCCCACCCACTCACTTCCCGACCTGGCCCGGAAAAGCGCCAGCTTTGCCCCCGCCGGGCGCCCCGTCGAAGCTCCCGGACGCGGCTCTCGCCAGGTCCGGCTGGCTTCCCTCCTGAGAAGGAAGCCACCTGCCACCTTTTTGCTTTTTTGTTCTTTCTCCCCCCACCCCGCCTGCGGAGAGCCACGTCGGGCGAAGGAACTTGTCCTCTTCCGCCTCTTGGTTTGTTTTGAACGAACGCGTAAAGAAAAAGAAAGAAAAAAAAACCCATGGATTTCTTGCCTGGCTTATCCTAGAGCACAATTGATTGTTTTGTTTTGTTTTTAAAAAAGAGACTTTACAAAAGGCGCTGTGAAATTTCTCTGTCTTTCCCCTCCCCTCCTCTCTCCCTCTCCTCCCTGTCCCCCCCTCCTCTTTTTCCAGCACTCCACGGGAGGTTGTTTTTTTCCTCGGGGAAGGGAGGAAAAGGATGGTTTGGAGGAGAGCGTAATGACGCAGCCAGTCTTTCTCTGGTTTTATGGGACCCTGGTTTCCAAGACTCTTGAAAAAAAGGAAAAGAAAAAGAAAGAAAACCAAGCGAGACTTCTATAAAGAGGGGAGGTGGGTTAACCTTCCTCGTGAAATGTTTACATGTTTTTATTTCCTCGGGGGGTGGAGTCGTTCGTTCCCTCCCCGTCTCACTCCTCCTCTTCCCTCCAACCTCTCCAAATAATCCCGTCTGGATTCTTAATTTTTTTTAAAAAAAAAATCTATAATAAAAAAAAAGTAATCTCTACGGCTTCTCTCGTTTTCCTAACCCGGGTGAGACCCGGGCCAAGCAGGGTTTTTCGGTTGGTTTTTAAGGTCGAAGCGGAAAGCTCGCTATTTCTGTGGGGAAAGGGAAAAGGGGGCCTTCTCCGCTGCTTGGAGGGCAAAGGGCCTTTGGTCCAGCTGGCTTACTTCGGAGTAAAGGCGACCCCGGAGAAAAGGGTTGGGAGGTCGGACGGCCGCCTCTGGGTGGCGCGATCCGGCGGGGCGAAAATCCGAATTTGCAAGACTTTGGTGGAGAAAAATCGATGTATTTCAGACATGGAATGCAATACGCACGTCCATAATTTTGGGGGTGGTGATGGAAAGGATATTTCATTTCTCCGACAAGAAGAAAAATATTCTTTTTTTCCCCCCCTCAGGTAAGAGTAAGCTGCATTCTGAATTGCCCGCTGACGCTTGTGGGGTTTTTTCGGTATTTCCCCCCCCCCCTCCTCTTGTTCCCTCCCGCGCTTGGTTTGGTGGGCGAGCGAAAGAAATCCTTCCCGGCCCTTTTTTATTTCGCTCCCACCGTGGTAAAGTTTTCGGCTAGTTCTTTCCTCCACCTCCAGGATTCCCTTCCGAGAGAAGATTTGAAAAGAGGCCAATAAATTTTTACAACGGGCCGTGCAGAAGCGTGGAAAGGGGTGGGGGGTGGGCGTTGGTCTTTCTTTGACGCCGTTGTGCCTAAGTTTTTTTGTTTTTTAATCCGAATTCGTCGATCCTTTTTCCTGTATACTCTTGAACAAGACAGACCTGCGAAACAAGCTTAAAAGAGGCTTGTAGCCAAGAAAGGTACACACACACACGCATACACACCGCCCGTGTTAGGCGATTTTTTGGGGGGAAGGGTTTCGCCACTCTTAAATGATTTGAGTAGGGGGACGTCTTCGTCTGGATCGCCTCTCCCTCCGACCCGCGGGGCCAACTCGGATCAAAGACTGCCGACTCCTTCCGTGGGAATAACCCCGTCGAAATTCCGACTGCTAGGGCCAAGTTTCGCTCTGTAGGAACGAGATGCGCCTTTGAAAGTCTGCGCCCCTCTCCGCAACTAACGAGCCGAAGGGTCGCTCGGTCGCAACTCCCCATCAGTCCCTCCCCCCGCGTGTTTGGAAATCCACGGAGGTGGAGGTAAGCAGGGGCAGGTGAGGAGAGGACGAGGCGCTTCAGCCGTGCGCGAATTCCAGGTGAGCGGTGAGCAGCGCCGGCGAGCGCGCGAAGACCCATTGAGGGCAGACGCGATCCAGAGGCCCTTGCCTGTCTATTTCCTCCTGTTTCCATCCAGGAATTAGGGTCCCAAGTGATCCTTCCTTCCTTCCTTCCTTCCATCCTTCCTTCCTTCCTTCCTTCC